CTGGAGATTCAAGTCAACAAGCGCTGGAGATTCAAGTCAACAAGTGCTGGAGATTCAAGTCAACAAGTGCTGGTGATTCAAGTCAATGAGTGCGGGAGATTCAAGTCAACAAGTGCTGGTGATTCAAGTCAACAAGTGCTGGTGATTCAAGTCAACAAGTGCTGGTGATTCAAGTCAACAAGTGCTGGAGATTCAAGTCAACAAGTGCTGGAGATTCAAGTCAGTGGGTGAGGCAGATTCAAGTCAATGGGTGAGGGAGATTCAAGTCAATGGGTGAGGGAGATTCAAGTCAATGGGTGAGGGAGATTCAAGTCAACAAGTGCTGGAGATTCAAGTCAACAAGTGCTGGAGATTCAAGTCAACAAGTGCTGGAGATTCAAGTCAACAAGTGCTGGAGATTCAAGTCAACAAGTGCTGGAGATTCAAGTCAACAAGTGCTGGAGATTCAAGTCAACAAGTGCTGGAGATTCAAGTCAACAAGTGCTGGAGATTCAAGTCAACAAGTGCTGGATATTCAAGTCAACAAGTGCTGGAGATTCAAGTCAATGGGTGAGGGAGATTCAAGTCACCAAGTGCTGGAGATTCAAGTCACCAAGTGCTGGAGATTCAAGTCACCAAGTGCTGGAGATTCAAGTCAACAAGTGCTGGAGATTCAAGTCGATGGGTGAGGAAGATTCAAGTCAACAAGTGCTGGAGATTCAAGTCACCAAGTGCTGGAGATTCAAGTCAACAAGTGCTGGAGATTCAAGTCAATGGGTGAGGAAGATTCAAGTCAACAAGTGCTGGAGATTCAAGTCAACAAGTGCTGGAGATTCAAGTCAATGGGTGAGGAAGATTCAAGTCAACAAGTGCTGGAGATTCAAGTCAACAAGTGCTGGTGATTCAAGTCGATGGGTGAGGGAGATTCAAGTCAACAAGTGCTGGAGATTCAAGTCAACAAACGCTGGAGATTCAAGTCAACAAGTGCTGGAGATTCAAGTCAACAAGTGCTGGAGATTCAAGTCAATGGGTGAGGGAGATTCAAGTCAACAAGCGCTGGAGATTCAAGTCAATGGGTGAGGGAGATTCAAGTCAACAAGTGCTGGAGATTCAAGTCAACAAGTGCTGGAGATTCAAGTCAACAAGTGCTGGAGATTCAAGTCAACAAGTGCTGGAGATTCAAGTCAACAAGTGCTGGAGATTCAAGTCAACAAGTGCTGGAGATTCAAGTCAACAAGTGCTGGTGATTCAAGTCAATGGGTGAGGGAGATTCAAGTCAATGGGTGAGGGAGATTCAAGTCAACAAGCGCTGGAGATTCAAGTCAACAAGTGCTGGAGATTCAAGTCAACAAGTGCGGGAGATTCAAGTCAACAAGCGCTGGAGATTCAAGTCAACAAGTGCTGGTGATTCAAGTCAACAAGTGCTGGAGATTCAAGTCAACAAGTGCTGGTGATTCAAGTCAACAAGTGCTGGTGATTCAAGTCAACAAGTGCTGGAGATTCAAGTCAATGGGTGAGGGAGATTTAAGTCAACAAGCGCTGGAGATTCAAGTCAACAAGTGCTGGAGATTCAAGTCAACAAGTGCTGGTGATTCAAGTCAACAAGTGCTGGTGATTCAAGTCAATGGGTGAGGGAGATTCAAGTCAATGGGTGAGGGAGATTCAAGTCAATGGGTGAGGGAGATTCAAGTCAACAAGTGCTGGAGATTCAAGTCAACAAGTGCTGGAGATTCAAGTCAACAAGTGCTGGAGATTCAAGTCAACAAGTGCTGGAGATTCAAGTCAACAAGTGCTGGAGATTCAAGTCAACAAGTGCTGGAGATTCAAGTCACCAAGTGCTGGAGATTCAAGTCACCAAGTGCTGGAGATTCAAGTCACCAAGTGCTGGAGATTCAAGTCAACAAGTGCTGGAGATTCAAGTCGATGGGTGAGGGAGATTCAAGTCAATGGGTGAGGAAGATTCAAGTCAACAAGTGCTGGAGATTCAAGTCAACAAGTGCTGGTGATTCAAATCAATGGGTGAGGGAGATTCAAGTCAACAAGTGCTGGTGATTCAAGTCGATGGGTGAGGGAGATTCAAGTCAATGGGTGAGGAAGATTCAAGTAAACAAGTGCTGGAGATTTAAGTCAACAAGTGCTAGAGATTCAAGTCAATGGGTGAGGGAGATTCAAGTCAACAAGCGCTGGAGATTCAAGTCAACAAGTGCTGGAGATTCAAGTCAACAAGTGCTGGAGATTCAAGTCAATGGGTGAGGGAGATTCAAGTCAACAAGCGCTGGAGATTCAAGTCAATGGGTGAGGGAGATTCAAGTCAACAAGTGCTGGAGATTCAAGTCAACAAGTGCTGGAGATTCAAGTCAACAAGTGCTGGAGATTCAAGTCAACAAGTGCTGGAGATTCAAGTCAACAAGTGCTGGAGATTCAAGTCAACAAGTGCTGGAGATTCAAGTCAACAAGTGCTGGAGATTCAAGTCAACAAGTGCTGGAGATTCAAGTCAACAAGTGCTGGAGATTCAAGTCAACAAGTGCTGGAGATTCAAGTCAACAAGTGCTGGTGATTCAAGTCAATGGGTGAGGGAGATTCAAGTCAATGGGTGAGGGAGATTCAAGTCAACAAGCGCTGGAGATTCAAGTCAACAAGCGCTGGAGATTCAAGTCAACAAGTGCTGGAGATTCAAGTCAACAAGTGCTGGTGATTCAAGTCAATGGGTGAGGGAGATTCAAGTCAACAAGCGCTGGAGATTCAAGTCAACAAGTGCTGGAGATTCAAGTCAACAAGTGCTGGAGATTCAAGTCAATGGGTGAGGGAGATTCAAGTCAACAAGCGCTGGAGATTCAAGTCAATGGGTGAGGGAGATTCAAGTCAACAAGTGCTGGAGATTCAAGTCAACAAGTGCTGGTGATTCAAGTCAACAAGTGCTGGTGATTCAAGTCAACAAGTGCTGGAGATTCAAGTCAACAAGTGCTGGTGATTCAAGTCAACAAGTGCTGGTGATTCAAGTCAACAAGTGCTGGAGATTCAAGTCAATGGGTGAGGGAGATTTAAGTCAACAAGCGCTGGAGATTCAAGTCAACAAGTGCTGGAGATTCAAGTCAACAAGTGCTGGAGATTCAAGTCAACAAGTGCTGGTGATTCAAGTCAATGGGTGAGGGAGATTCAAGTCAATGGGTGAGGGAGATTCAAGTCAACAAGCGCTGGAGATTCAAGTCAACAAGTGCTGGAGATTCAAGTCAACAAGTGCTGGTGATTCAAGTCAATGGGTGAGGGAGATTCAAGTCAATGGGTGAGGGAGATTCAATTCAACAAGCGCTGGAGATTCAAGTCAACAAGTGCTGGAGATTCAAGTCAATGGGTGAGGGAGATTCAAGTCAACAAGTGCTGGAGATTCAAGTCAATGGGTGAGGGAGATTCAAGTGAACAAGTGCTGGAGATTCAAGTCAATGGGTGAGGGAGATTCAAGTCAACAAGTGCTGGTGATTCAAGTCAACAAGTGCTGGTGATTCAAGTCAACAAGTGCTGGAGATTCAAGTCAACAAGTGCTGGAGATTCAAGTCAACAAGTGCTGGAGATTCAAGTCAACAAGTGCTGGAGATTCAAGTCAACAAGTGCTGGTGATTCAAGTCAACAAGTGCTGGAGATTCAAGTCAACAAGTGCTGGAGATTCAAGTCAACAAGTGCTGGAGATTCAAGTCAACAAGTGCTGGAGATTCAAGTCAACAAGTGCTGGAGATTCAAGTCAACAAGTGCTGGAGATTCAAGTCAACAAGTGCTGGAGATTCAAGTCAACAAGTGCTGGAGATTCAAGTCAACAAGTGCTGGAGATTCAAGTCAACAAGTGCTGGAGATTCAAGTCAACAAGTGCTGGAGATTCAAGTCAACAAGTGCTGGAGATTCAAGTCAACAAGTGCTGGAGATTCAAGTCAACAAGTGCTGGAGATTCAAGTCAATGGGTGAGGGAGATTCAAGTCAACAAGTGCTGGAGATTCAAGTCAACAAGTGCTGGAGATTCAAGTCAATGGGTGAGGGAGATTCAAGTCAACAAGTGCTGGAGTTTCAAGTCAACAAGTGCTGGAGATTCAAGTCAACAAGTGCTGGAGATTCAAGTCAACAAGTGCTGGAGATTCAAGTCAACAAGTGCTGGAGATTCAAGTCAACAAGTGCTGGAGATTCAAGTCAACAAGTGCTGGAGATTCAAGTCAACAAGTGCTGGAGATTCAAGTCAACAAGTGCTGGAGATTCAAGTCAACAAGTGCTGGAGATTCAAGTCAACAAGTGCTGGAGATTCAAGTCAATGGGTGAGGGAGATTCAAGTCAGTGGGTGAGGCAGATTCAAGTCAATGGGTGAGGGAGATTCAAGTCAATGGGTGAGGGAGATTCAAGTCAATGGGTGAGGGAGATTCAATTCAACAAGTGCTGGAGATTCAACTCAACAAGTGCTGGAGATTCAAGTCAATGGGTGAGGGAGATTCAAGTCAACAAGCGCTGGAGATTCAAGTCAACAAGTGCTGGAGATTCAAGTCAACAAGTGCTGGAGATTCAAGTCAACAAGTGCTGGAGATTCAAGTCAACAAGTGCTGGAGATTCAAGTCAACAAGTGCTGGAGATTCAAGTCAACAAGTGCTGGAGATTCAAGTCAACAAGTGCTGGAGATTCAAGTCAATGGGTGAGGGAGATTCAAGTCAACAAGTGCCGGGGATTCAAGTCAATGGGTGAGGGAGATTCAAGTCAATGGGTGAGGAAGATTCAAGTCAACAAGTGCTGGAGATTCAAGTCAATGGGTGAGGGAGATTCAAGTCAACAAGTGCTGGTGATTCAAGTAAACAAGTACTGGAGATTCAAGTCAACAAGTGCTAGAGATTCAAGTCAATGGGTGAGGGAGATTCAAGTCAACAAACGCTGGAGATTCAAGTCAACAAGTGCTGGAGATTCAAGTCACCAAGTGCTGGAGATTCAAGTCAACAAGTGCTGGAGATTCAAGTCGATGGGTGAGGGAGATTCAAGTCAATGGGTGAGGAAGATTCAAGTCAACAAGTGCTGGAGATTTAAGTCAACAAGTGCTGGAGATTTAAGTCAACAAGTGCTGGAGATTTAAGTCAACAAGTGCTAGAGATTCAAGTCAATGGGTGAGGGAGATTGAAGTCAACAAGCGCTGGAGATTTAAGTCAACAAGTGCTAGAGATTCAAGTCAATGGGTGAGGGAGATTGAAGTCAACAAGCGCTGGAGATTCAAGTCAACAAGTGCTGGAGATTCAAGTCAACAAGTGCTGGAGATTCAAGTCAATGGGTGAGGGAGATTCAAGTCAACAAGCGCTGGAGATTCAGTCAACAGTGCTAGATTCAAGCACAAGTGCTGGAGATTCAAGTCAACAAGTGCTGGAGATTCAAGTCAACAAGTGCTGGAGATTCAAGTCAACAAGTGCTGGAGATTCAAGTCAACAAGTGCTGGAGATTCAAGTCAACAAGTGCTGGAGATTCAAGTCAACAAGTGCTGGAGATTCAAGTCAACAAGTGCTGGAGATTCAAGTCAACAAGTGCTGGAGATTCAAGTCAACAAGTGCTGGAGATTCAAGTCAACAAGTGCTGGAGATTCAAGTCAACAAGTGCTGGAGATTCAAGTCAACAAGTGCTGGAGATTCAAGTCAACAAGTGCTGGAGATTCAAGTCAACAAGTGCTGGAGATTCAAGTCAACAAGTGCTGGAGATTCAAGTCAACAAGTGCTGGAGATTCAAGTCAACAAGTGCTGGAGATTCAAGTCAACAAGTGCTGGAGATTCAAGTCAACAAGTGCTGGAGATTCAAGTCAACAAGTGCTGGAGATTCAAGTCAACAAGTGCTGGAGATTCAAGTCAACAAGTGCTGGAGATTCAAGTCAACAAGTGCTGGAGATTCAAGTCAACAAGTGCTGGAGATTCAAGTCAACAAGTGCTGGAGATTCAAGTCAACAAGTGCTGGTGATTCAAGTCAATCAAGTGCTGGAGATTCAAGTCAACAAGCGCTGGAGATTCAAGTCAACAAGTGCTGGAGATTCAAGTCAACAAGTGCTGGTGATTCAAGTCAACAAGTGCTGGAGATTCAAGTCAACAAGTGCTGGAGATTCAAGTCAACAAGTGCTGGAGATTCAAGTCAACAAGTGCTGGAGATTCAAGTCAACAAGTGCTGGTGATTCAAGTCAACAAGTGCTGGAGATTCAAGTCAACAAGTGCTGGAGATTCAAGTCAACAAGTGCTGGTGATTCAAGTCGATGGGTGAGGGAGATTTCAAGTCAACAAGGCTGGAGATTCAAGTCAACAAGTGCTGGAGATTCAAGTCAACAAGTGCTGGAGATTCAAGTCAACAAGTGCTGGAGATTCAAGTCAATGGGTGAGGGAGATTCAAGTCAACAAGCGCTGGAGATTCAAGTCAACAAGTGCTGGAGATCAAGTCACAAGTGCTGGAGATTCAAGTCAACAAGTGCTGGAGATTCAAGTCAACAAGTGCTGGAGATTCAAGTCAACAAGTGCTGGTGATTCAAGTCAACAAGTGCTGGAGATTCAGTCAACAAGTGCTGGAGATTCAAGTCAACAAGTGCTGGAGATTCAAGTCAACTAGGTGATGGAGATTCAAGTCAACAAGTGCTGGAGATTCAAGTCAACAAGTGCTGGAGATTCAAGTCAACAAGTGCTGGTGATTCAAGTCAACAAGTGCTGGAGATTCAAGTACAAGTGCTGGAGATTCAAGTCAAACAAGTGCTGGAGATTCAAGTCGATGGGGTGAGGGAGATTCAATTCAACAAGTGCTGGAGATTCAAGTCAACAAGTGCTGGAGGATTCACGTGCTGAATTCAAGTTTTTCCCCCCCCACCCAAGTGCTGGATATTAAAGTCACACAAGTGCTGGATATTCAAGTCAACAAGTGCTGGTGATATCAAGTCAACAAGTGCTGGTGATTCAAGTCAATCAAGTGCTGGAGATTCAAGTCAACAAGTGCTGGAGATTCAAGTCAAACAAGTGCTGGAGATTCAAGTCAACAAGTGCTGGATATTCAAGTCAACAAGTGCTGGAGATTCAAGTCAAATGGTGATGGAGATTCAAGTCACCAAGTGCTGGAGATTCAAGTCAACAAGTGCTGGAGATTCAAGTCAATGGGTGATGGAGATTCAAGTCAACAAGTGCTGGAGATTCAAGTCAACAAGTGCTGGAGATTCAAGTCAATGGGTGAGGAAGATTTCAAGTCAACCAGTGCTGGAGATTCAAGTCAACAAGTGCTGGAGATTCAAGTCAATGGGTGAGGGAGATTCAAGTCAACAAGTGCTGGAGATTCAAGTCAACAAGTGCTGGAGATTCAAGTCAATGGGTGAGGAGATTCAAGTCAAATGTGATGGAGATTCAAGTCAACAAGTGCCTGGAGATTCAAGTCAACAAGGTGCTGGAGATTCAAGTCAACAATGTGCTGGAGATTCCAAGTCAATGAGTGATGGACATTCAAGTCACAAGTGCTGGAGATTCAAGTCAACAAGTGCTGGAGATTCAAGTCGATGGTGA